GTTCTGGATTAATTGATTTTCAAAACGGAAAAAAATACATCGGGACGATTTTCTCTGTGTTATATGGAATGTGTTATACTTTAATTTGGTCATAAGGCGAAATTAATCCAGCAGCCCTATAAGAGTTTAATTAAAGTTGTACCGCCCTTATTAAGTTTAGTATTTTATTTTTTTATTATTAATTTCAATGCTGCGGAGCAGCACGGGTCATCTAGTTTGATATAATTCTCAAAGCTTCCTTCTGAAATATCAAGATTGTGTCTAGGTTGCCTTTACTTGTATCGCCATAAACAATTACCGGTACCCCATAAGATATGTGAGAGTGGATATGTGTGAAATAAATATGGTTTTCAAGTGTCAAGACTACATAAAAAAGACATTTTTCTAAGAACATATATATACCCGATGCAATTATAATTGTTTGCCAATTTTAGTGTATGTTGGTCCCAACTAAGATTATTGTCAACTTCAACTCCTACAAATTGGAAATTTAATTTATTTTATTCCATTTTCCCCCATTAAAATATCTATTCCTTGAGCATTTTTATTTTGTTTTGTAGAAAAAATAATTTAATTAGTTTAATACAGTTTAGAAATAAATGGTTTTCTATAAAAAATTAAATAACTTCTTGATCAACATTGTACGTCTTATTAAATTTACAGAAAGTGAATAAAAGAAACGTATTATAACACTTAAAACATATATTTACGCTTATACTGTTACTCACAAGACAGTATAAGCGTACATCTATCTATATATATAAATACCCTAATCCGATTTTTGTGAACAGAACTCCTCCCTCATTTTTGGACTGATTTTGGTGATTAAAGTGTCAAAGAAATTGCCCTGATCTGTAGTTTTGCAAAGTGTTTTTAGTTGTTTGATATCTTTATTAGTTTGGGCAGGATCTTCCATCAAAGTTGGATTTTCTCCCATAAGATTAACATGGGGGAATCTAAATATTTATTTGGAAACTTTGTCTCCACTAATTTGAGAGAACGGCTGGGCGTAGAAACTTGGTGGAGGTGTCCAAAGAAAGGTCTTGGTCTCTAGATAAGTTATCAAAAGAAAAACTATGTAAATTCGCTTAGGGCTCTGCCCAAGAAGCCTCTAAAGATCCCTCGACAGATTTGTTTACATTTTGGTCATGTGGATAATACTTTTTAATAAAACAGCTGTTAATTTTATAACAGCTAGTAGCCATTTTGTAACAGGTATTGTGCGACATTTGATCTTTCCGGTTTGTTGTTCCTCCATGCAGATATGTGGTTTTTGAACCAGCTGACGAAGTTTACAGTCTGTCCAATGTAGAAGTTATCACAATCATTACAATTGATTTTATAGATGCCCGAAGCGTCGAATTTGTTACAATCTTCTATTTTTGGATGCAGTATTTTACTCATGGTGTTCTGAGTCCTGTAGGCTATTGAAACTCCGTATTTCTTGAATTTGTTAGTTAGCAGTTGTTTGTGTTGTAGTCCCCGTGTAGCTAAATGTGACATATCTGGTGTTTTCATCTTTTATATCTTCTAATTTTGTTTATTGTATTGTTTGTTTATTTACTTTCCATTAAAAAAAATTTTAAATTATTTTTAATTGCACTTTAAGATGCAATTTTAAGATTTTTTTTTTTTTTAATAGAGGGCCAGGCTTACAAGTTACCATGGGATTGCATCGCAGCTAGAACAGCTTATTGTGCACCCTCGTTCACAGATTTTCATTCTCCGTCAAATCCCAGGTCTTTGGTGAACCGTGAGAGCCTTTTGACTATGGTGACCTGTTTTTCCCTTTGATCTCCCATCAATAGGCCAAGGGATCTCATACGCAGACCTTGTAGGGCTGGACACATAAATATACCTTCACAGCTTTCACAAGGTCTCTGGCTGGGGCAAGCCGTAGCGAGATTTCCCCGAAAGGACTCAGCTCCTGAACTTGCTTGACCAGCCAATCCTTTGTGGCTGCGTCAGCACAACCTCCACCTTTCTTCCTGGAGGCTTCATTAGAGTCAGCTTTGGGGGTACCACCCTTGCCCTGCTTTTTCCCAGCATCCTAGTTCCTGGAGGAACTGGCTTTGCAGGCAGCAGAGTTAGGGTGCTTGGCAGCCCACACCAGCCTCCTCTCACTTCTGGATAGCACCTTTTCACCTTTGGCTAAAGCATCCGCTATCCTCTGTCTTTGCAACTCACCCCTGGAAAGTCGTTTTTCGTACGAGGGATCTCATACGCAGACCTTGTAGGGCTGGGTACATAAATATACCTTCACAGCTTTCACAAGGTCTCTGGCTGGGGCAAGCCGTAGCGAGATTTTCCTGAAAGGACTCAGTTCCTGAACTTGCTTGACCAGCCAATCCTTTGTGGCTGCGTTAGCACAGCCTCCACCTTTCTTCCTGGAGGCTTCATTAGAGTCAGCTTTGGGGGTACCACCCTTGCTCTGCTTTTTCCCAGCATCCTAGCTCCCGGAGGAACCGGCTTTGCAGGCAGCAGAGTTAGGGTGCTTGGCAGCCCACACCAGCCTCCTCTCACTTCTGGATAGCACCTTTTTGCCTTTGGCTTAAGCATCCGCTATCCTCCATCTTTGCAACTCGCCCCTGGAAAGTCGTTTTTCGTTCCTTTCCGGTTTCTGCGAGCTTGTCGTCATTGTCAGATTTCAGTAGACCTTCCTCCTCCATTTGGGTCAGATTGTCTACATTGTTCTCACGAATACCGGGTATTTAAGTCCACCTCCCCAGTGACCCGATTAGAGAGGTAAGGGGTGCGTACGACTGGGTTACCCCTGGTTCTCAGAGGGCTCCGTTAAGACACTGAATATTAGGCCCCTAGTGCCACAAGACTCTTGGCACGGATCGCATTACACCTTAGTCTAGGGCCCCCCTCACTTGGTTCAGTAGGTGGACCAACACCCAGTGGCAGAAGGTAGCTCTCCGCAGCTAACAAGTGAGAGTTGGGGTTTAGGTTGTGGCCAATCTGCCGAACCAACCCCTCATGCGAGGTTTGGCCGGAACGGCGCGAAATTTTCTCCCACTCACTAAACCCCCATACCTTCCATTTTAAGATTTACTTACTCTTCACATTTTTGCTCTAAACTTACTCGTTTAAGGGCTAAATGATGTTAAATGTACACCGGAAGTATCTTTTTCATAGGCTGTAACTCCTAATCGAGTGGGTTTACGGAAAAAATGTCAAGAACAAAATAGTTTTTAAATTGCGATCAAATCAGATATTATTTTGAAATAAACAACATCTTGAACAACAACCAATACGGTTTTAGAAAGGGAAAATCCACTCTCAATGCATTGGACGATCTAGTCAGGTATCTCTCTTTTGAAAATAAAACTTATGCTCAGGCCACCTTCTGTGACCTCAGTAAAGCGTTTGACTCTATTGACAGCAATATTCTCATCTCTAAATTACAGTACTATGGATTTGGCCCTCCATTATCTTTTTTAAGAAGCTACTTGCAAAATCGGAAACAAGCAGTTTGAAAAAAAGGAAGATGGTCAGATGAAGTGTCAGTCGAGTGGGGAGTGCCACAGGGTTCAGTCCTTGGTCCCCTTCTTTTCTTAATCTATATTAAATGATCTACCCTCTTCTGTTGATTGTAAAACCATTCTGTACGCATCTACCCTCTTCTGTTGATTGTAAAACCATTCTGTACGCAGATGTCTCTACCTTTTTATCTACTAGTAAAAACTATAAAGATCTTGAAAAATTGGCTGATGAAACATTAAATAATGCACAAAATTGGTTTCATAGTAATGGACTTTTGCTTAACAAAGTAAAATCACAAAAATTTATATTTTCCTTAAATTATAATTCAAGAGAGTTGTTTGAGAACAGTGATAAGGGTGGTACAGTTTTTTCAGCAAAGTTTTTGGGAATATATGTAGATAGTCAGCTAACATGGGATTCTCATATAGACTATTTAAATACCAGACTTTCTCGTGTAATATTTTTACCAGGCCGTCTGAAAAAATGCATTCCACTAAATTATGTCCGAACGGCACATTTTTCATATTTTCAATCCATTTTCAGGTATGGGCTAATTTTTTGGGGCAATTGTGCTAGGCTAGAGGAAATTCTTGTTTGGCAAAAGAAAGCGGTTAGAGTTATCTCTAATAAAGGCTCGAGAGACCACAGCAAACCACTTTTTCAAAATCTTCAAATCCCTACTAATATTAACGTTTATATTTATGACTTAATAGTTTATATATTGGAAAATCAAAATCTTTTAAAATTTAGAAACCATACGATCATAATACCAGAAATAAGAACCAATACCACAATAGAATTCCATCGTTTAAGTAAAACTCTAAATAGTCACATAGTTTTATCACTTAAGGTGTACAACTTTCTTGAATCCATAATTAAATTACACAATATGAGGATTTCAAGAATAAATTTTATTGTTGGCTGACCAATAACCCGTTTTATAGTTTGGAAGATTTTGTTTAAGAATAAGATTCTTCAGTTGTAATCATTCATTTAGAAAATGTATTATAATATGTCTCCCTTTGTTTAGTTAGCTATAAGTATTTTATTATTTAATTAAATGACTATGCTTTAATTTTAGTTGTTTCTTGACATTGTCGATAATTTGTACAAATTCAAAAGACAATAAAGCTTATTTCATTTGATTTCTTTTCATTTCATTTCATTCCATTTATGATCCGCATTTTGCATTATAATAGTGCTATGGATTTAGTATAAATTTTAGTATTGATTTGAAATTATTGTTTAGACTTAGACTAACTTAAATGAACAAGCAATCTATCTAAATGATTACAACAAATGTATAAATTTAATAAAATATGATCTTTTTCAGAAGAGGCGATAGATTTGGAGAAGAAAAGGAACTTCAATTCATGTAGCAAAAAAGTTAATTACCTTAATCTGCAAAGTATGAAAGATACTTAAAACAACAGTTGAAAAGATAAACTTTTTACTACACTAAAAGTACAAATAAAAGTAAGTAATTTGCTAAAAACTTGAATTTTAATTAATGGCTGATGCAATATTATTTGAAAACATGAAACATAGAAATCACTCTTTCTTCTCAACTAATTTGATATGATTGATTATGAAAGTAAAGAAAAATGCCTCAAGTAGGCTATGTTGTATTGTTTTAATAAACATAACAATATTTGAGCAAAAAGTTCATAAAATTATATTGATACACATAACTTTTAAACGCCAAATCCTACAAAAATATACTCACAAAGCCAGTTCACTAATTCTAATTAGTTTCTAGATTGTCTGATAGGTTATGTCAGAAATTGAATGAAAAAAAAAATGTTTAAGGTCACTAAAAAGCCTCGCCTTAAGTGCCCAATATGTAGAAAAATGTTTTCAACTCTATCAACAATGAAGTGTCATATATATTTACACACAGATGAGCGTCCCTTTAGATGTTTGACATGTGAGAAAACATTTACTAGTCTAATTCAAGTAAAGAATCATTTGTTGACTCATTCTGATAAGCGTCCTTATAAGTGCACTACATGTGGAAAATCATTCCAAACCAAAATAAATATGAAGAGACATACATTAGTACACACAGGAGAGAGGCCTCATAAGTGCACTATATGTGGAAAATCATTCCAAACCAGTGGCAGTATGAAGATGCATACATTAGTACACACCGGAGAGAGACCTCATAAGTGCACTACATGTGGAAAATCATTCCAAACCAAAATGGATATGAAGAGACATACATTAGTACACTCCGGAGAGCGACCTCATAAGTGCACTACATGTGGAAAATCATTCCAAACCAGTGGCAATATGAAGATGCATACATTAGTACACACCAGAGAGAGACCTTATAAGTGCACTATATGTGGAAAATCATTCCAAACCAGTGGCAATATGAAGATGCATACATTAGTACACACCGGAGAGCGACCTCATAAGTGCACTACATGTGGAAAATCATTCCAAACCAAAGAGCATATGAAGAGACATACATTAGTACACACCGGAGAGAGACCTCATAAGTGTACTACATGTGGAAAATCCTTCCAAACCAGGAGCAGTATGGAGATTCATACATTAGTACACACCGGAGAGAGACCTCATAAGTGTACTACATGTGGAAAATCCTTCCAAACCAAAAAGAATATCAACAGTCACACATTAGTACACACCGGAGAGAGACCTCATAAGTGTACTACATGTGGAAAATCATTCCAAACCAGGAGCAGTATGAAGAGACATACATTAGTACACACCGGAGAGAGACCACAAAGTGCACTTCATGTGGAAAATCCTTCACAACCAACAGGAAAATGAAGTAACATACAGTAGTACACTCTGGAGAAAGACCTCATAACTGCACTACATGTGGCAAATCCTTCCAAACCAGGAGCAGTATGAAGATTCATACATTAGTACACACCGGAGAGAGACCTCATAGATGCACTACATGTGGAAAATCCTTTCAAACCAGTGGCAGTATGAAGGAACATACATTAGTACACACAGGAGAGAGACCTCATAGATGCTCTACATGTGGAAAATCCTTCCAAACCAGGAGTAGTATGAAGAAACATACATTAGTACACACCGGAGAGAGACCTCATAACTGTACTACATGTGGAAAATCATTCAAAACCAGGGGCCATATGAAGAAACATACATTAGTACACACCGGAGAGAGACCACATAAGTGCACTGCATGTGGAAAATCCTTTACAACCATTTACCATATGAAGAGACATACATTAGTACACACAGGAGAGAGACCACAAAGTGCACTTCATGTGTAAAATCCTTCACAACCAGTGGCAGTATGAAGAGACATTCATTAGTACACACTGGAGAGAGACCACAAAGTGCACTACATGTGGAAAATCCTTCACAACCAACAGGAAAATGAAGTAACATACATTAGTACACACCGGAGAGTGACCGCTTAAGCACTACATGTGGAAAATCCTTCACAACACAACCAGTAGCCAAATTAAGAAACATACGTTAGTACACACCAGAGAGAGACTTCTTAAGTGCACTACATGTAGAAAATCCTTCACAACACAACCAGTAACCAAATGAAGAAACATACATTAGTACACACTGGAGAGACACCACAAAGTGCACTACATGTGGAAAATCCTTCACAATCAACAGGAAAATGAAGAAACATACATCAGTACACACTGGAGAGAGACCACATAAGTGCACTACATGTGGAAAATCATTCAAAAGCAGTTGCAGTATGAAGAGACATTCATTAGTACACTCTGGAGAGAGAGCACAAAGTGCACTACATGTGGAAAATCCTTCACAACCAACAGGAAAATGAAGAAACATACATTAGTACACACCGGAGAGTGACCGCATAAGCACTACATGTGGAAAATCCTTCACAACACAACCAGTAGCCAAATGAAGAAACATACATTAGTACACACCGGAGAGAGACCTCATAAGCACTACATGTGGAAAATCCTTCACAACACAACCAGTATCCATAAGAAGAAACATACATTAGTACACACCGGAGAGAGACCTCATAAGTGTACTACATGTGGAAAATCCTTTACAACCAGTGGCAATATGAAGAAACATACGTTAGTACACACCGGAGAGAGACCACAAAGTGCACTTCATGTGGAAAATCCTTAACAACCAAAAGGAAAATGAAGAAACATTCATTTACACAGGAGAGTTATCCCATAAGTGTACTGAATGAAGAAATTCCTTTGCATACCAAAACTATATAAAGAAACGTTCGTTAGTTCATACTAGAGAGCAATCTAAAAGCAGACCGGTAGTTAGTATGTGACTAGTGTACCTGATGCTCAATTTCGAGCAATTGCGAAGTATAACAGGCGTTATTTTAAAACCAATAACAGTCATAATTTCTGATGACTTTAAAATAGGCGGCTCAAAGATTATGGAAATACTCACGGTGTACATAACAGTTCAATATAATCAACATTTCTTGCATATATATTATCATTTTTCAAAAGCTGATCTGATTTTTTAGTGTTTTCTACAAATGTTCCCATTTTATAGCCGCATTAAGCTGTCCATAATACAAATTCTAAAAAAAAAAACATTATTTCTATTCCTTCTACTTGGTGGTATTCTATGACTCTCCTATGTTTCGATAGTTTGCAAATCGGCTCTTTCAATGATTGCTCAAAATACCCCCACTGCAGGAAACCTGCCGACTAAGCGAATTTCTATTTGCATGGATTGATATTCAATTAATCGATTAAAATAAAATTTATGTTTAACGAGTACCTAGGTTAGCTGTTACAGGGAAACTAATAAACTAATAAAAATATCAATAGCTTAGTATGAAATAAATAAATCCGCAAAGTTTGATCAAAATATATCCATAAACAAGCCAACTACAACATTTTACAGTATTCTCCATATGAATAATATGGGAATTTTAAATTAATAATTTGTTATTTTTCTTGGTAACCAATCACCGTACAAAAACACTTTGATATACTAAATTATTTGTTTTTTTTAAGCTCTTTAATGAGGTCTGGAGAAAAATTGATAAATTTTGTGTTTTAAGGGTAAAAAATTAGAAAAGCCCATTTTTACCCCAAGTAAAACCCCCCGTTAAACCTGGTTCCCATGGTCCGATCATACTGGCTCGCGAACTCATTCAAGTTTATTCCGCCTTACACCTTCAAACCAAATGTTATCAAAATCGGACAAAACTTACTCAAGTTATCGTCAAAAACTGAATTCAGGCATCACCTAAAATACCATGGACATATTTTAATGAAATTTTGTTAACTTCATACTAAGCTATCGATATTTCAATAAAAAAACCCCTATTTTCTTCCCTGTAGCAGCAAACCTAAGTACTCGTTTAAATTTATGATATTTAAATAGGAAATAAATCTGACAATTTTAAGGGAATAATTTAGTGGAATTCCACTCACCTAGATAAAAATTGGCTTAGTCTGCAGGTTTGCTGCGGCGGGGGTATTGTGTTTTCATATTATGTTTAATTAATATTTGTACTTTTCTAAGATGCCTTGAAGAGATCGTGCACGCAATGAAAATAATAGGGATATGATGAAAAAAATTGTTTTCACCCTTATAAACTATGTAGATATTAAATATATAATGGATTTTGAAGTCACAAAGTGACCTAGGTTGCTAGTACAGTAGACTCCCTCTTATCCGGACTCCTCGGGATCAAGGCCAGTCCGGATAAAATTTTTTCCAGTTAAACTGACGTCCCCAAAAATTAGTTAAAACGGACCGTCTTAATGCATACTGTATACAGTATTTGACTGAAATTTAGGAGAGCATTGTATTTAGACACGCGATCACTGGTCTCAAATCTTTCCCACGAGAACAGTCGTTTCAGTACCGCCCACTTCCTGCTGATCTAGTTAAACCGATATGCTGATAAAAATTGTCCGGTTAAAGAGATGTCATTTCCGCCAAATGTAGTCCGGTTAAACCGATGTCCGGTTAAAAGGTGTCCGGATAAGAAGGAGTCTATACTTAGAAATAATAATATAAAGTAAAACATGGCAAATATACAAAACTTCATTGTTCATTTCATGTTGTTTTACAATGCTTAGTTGTATCTTTGACTATCAATATAACTTCAGTATCCAATAGTCAATGTTTGTATCAAAGGTTGTATCTAAGACTGTTTATTTCTTTAGATAAATTGTTATTCTTATATACATATGACAACTGAGAACTTTAATGTAATGCAGAGCGTCAAGGTTCTTTCCAGAGCTATTATGTTATTATTGTGCATTGCCTTAATCCAGAAAACCCACTTATGTCAAGCATTTGTTAGGTTTTTAATTGTATGTCCATTTTTAAGAATATATTGTAGTATTTTTATGTGTTAAATTGTCCTCCTACTTAGTACCTAGACCGGTTATTACAGCAGTTCATTAAAACTCATCATCTGTACAGGTTATATAAAAATGTATGTAGTGTGGATTTATCAATTTTACTGTAATATATTTTATTGATAACATGAGGTGGATTTATGTATTGAGTCCACATAAAATCTTGAATTAGGATAAACCTACAATATAAATTACATATCTCGCATAATCAAACTTATATATTGATTTTTAAATGTTTGTTAATTTTTATACAAGTAGTAAAAATAAAAAGGTATGAACTGCTTTAGTGTGTGATTTCGGGTACTGTACCTAACTGTAATCTACCTACCTAGAGATAATCCCTCTTCCACTTCACCTAGTTTTATCGAATTTCCCTATATTTTATTCCCTTTTACTCTAGGTGAAACGGTAAGACCTCGACCCAGGACCGATATCCTATTAGTGAACTTCCCTATAGGGAAGAAGCTATTACTGTAGGTGGCACAGTAAGACCTAGGCCCTGGACCAATTTAATTTTTCATTTTGATGCCTCCAGAGGACAAAAGACTATTTGTTCAAATTTGTATAGTTGTAAAAAATTATTGCATGTTAAAACCTGTGTATTTAAAGTTATTTTGAAACATTATAGCCTAGATTGTTTTTGATAGTAAATAAATACTAACTTATTTACCTCTCTTCAAGCTATGATTAATGGTGAAAATAGTCAAGTTTCCGGGTTTGGGGATATTAGTTTAGTCTTAGGTTTAGCCCTGTGGCATTTGAGAACGACCATCGGTTTATAGTCCAGTCATTGAGTGTGGAAGTTCGACAAAATTGTTTCAAAAGGTTTTTCAACGGATTTCAATACTTTTATACCTCCACACAACACAAAAAAAAGTCTACCAAAATGTGACTTGGGGAAGTACCTGATATTAGGGTATTTAAATTAGAATAACTAGTGTACCTGTTGCTCGAATTCGAGCAATTGCATTACAGGCGACTCAAAGATTATGGAAATACTCACAATCTACACAACAGTTAGATATAATCAAAATCTTTTCCTCTTTTGATGGCTCATCTACAGACCAAGACCTTTCTTTAGAGACCCCTACCAAGTTTCTACGCCCAGCCGTTCTCTCAAATTAGCTGTGAAAAAACCCCGTTTTCCTCCATAAGAATAACATGGGATGGGAACTCAAGGCCACTGGGGCAGAGCCCCAAGGGAATTCACCATGTTTCTCTTTTGATGGCTCATCTACAGACCAAGACCTTTCTTTAGACACCTCTACCGAGTTTCTACGCCCAGCCGTTCTCTCAAAATAGCCATGTCAAAGAAAAACAGTTTCAAATTAATATTTAGACTAGTGTACCTGTTGCTCGAATTCGAGCAATTGCGAAGCATGCGACTCAAAGATTACGGAAATACTCACGATCTACACAACAGTTAGATAAAATCAAAATCTTTTGTAATTATCTTATTTTTTTCAAAAAGCTGATCTTGTTTTTTTTTAGTGTAAAAAAAAACAATATTTCTATTTATTTTACTTGATGTGTTCTATGACTTTTTATATGTTTCCATTGTTTGCAAATCGGTTATTTCAATGATTGCTCAAGAAATTTAGCACAGTGTTAATTCAGTTTTGTTTTTAGCCTATATCAAATTAGTTAGGATTTATCGCTATTATCCATTGTAATAATTACACCAACCCAAGTTTTGTCTACAGATGCAATATGCCAAAGAATATCACCTACGCACAATCTCCAAGAAGTGGTAAAAAAAGGCAGAAACCAAGCCATACAATAGATACCTATAAGTAAACTCCATAAGAAATAATTTTAAAAGTTACTGTGATATTAGGATTTTCCACTCATTTGGTAATAGAACATTATATTGCAAAACATGACACGATGCAGAAGAAAATCAATTTTACCTAACCCGCCATGTTAAACTTCCCTATCGCAAGCGTGATGTATATAACTTCGTTACTTCTCGAGTGACGTAAAGTTGAAAAAAACTCACTCGGTGATGTAATGAAACCCATTAAAATAACATTGAGTGCTTAACTTAAAAAAAAATACCTCTATGGAGCCAACGACGTTCAACGCTAGAAATCAGCTGTGCGCTTGAATTTTATTGTTATGTTTTGAAGAATTTTCCTAACCTAGCTTTTGTTTGTAAATGAACGTTACTGTTAGACGATGAGTGAAATGGATAATGAAAAATATTGTTCGTAACCTCCTGTATATTGTCGGGTCAGGTAAAATCTTGTACGTTACACGTTACGCAAGAGCGTGTTTACATCACTTCGGTAAATTATGCAACTCGCTTCCGCTCGTTGCACAACATTCACCTGCGTGATGTAAAAACGCTCTTACTACACTTGTAAGGTAAATAGCTATTAAAATCAGAAAAATCCATTTCAAATACTGTTACTTCATTTTGACAAATTCAATAAATCACAATTTAAATATTAACAGCTGTTGCATTAAAAAGTAGTGTAGAATTATGCATATGGTCGTAATATAAACAAATCTGAAGAGGCAACTCTAAAGGCTTCTGGGGCAGAGCCCCAAGGGAGTTTACCTCTTTCCTCTTTTGATGGCTCATCTACAGACCAAGACCTTTCTTTAGAGACCCCTACCAAGTTTCTACGCCCAGCCGTTCTCTCAAATTAGCTGTGACAAAAACCCCGTTTTCCTCCATAAGAATAACATGGGATGGGAATTTAAAGGCCACGGAGGCAGAGCCCCAAGGGAATTAACCATATTTCTCGTTTGATGGCTCATCTACAGACCAAGACCTTTCTTTAGACACCTCTACCGAGTTTCTACGCCCAGCCGTTCTCTCAAAATACAATGCCGTTTAAATAAAAGCAATATTTAGTGCACTTATGGTCATTTGATCTAAGAAAATACAAATATTTTGAAAAAAAAAACTTCTTTTGTCTGTTACTGTGTTTACTTAGTTTACCTGTGAGGGTTTGGAAACTTAAATTGGTGCAGTTTTGTCACTAATACTTGGTAGTTTAACACATGAAAATGTTTAACACTAACTTTGTTTCACCCTGTATATTTATACATACATATGAATTTGCATGGATGGTAATTTTGGCCTCTAGGGACCTCAAAACGAAAAAGTAAATCGGTCCCGGGTCCCGGTCTTGCTATGAGTACTACTGTAATAGCTTATTCCCTATATGGGAAATTCGCTAAAAACAATCTAAATTATTACGAAAATGTATAAAATTGATAAAATGTGGTCTTTTTCAGAAGGGGCAATAGATTTGAAGAAGAAAAAGAACTTCAATTCATGTCACAAGAGAGATAATTCACCTAATCTGTAAAGTAGGGCCTATTAAAGATACCTTAAACAACAGATAAAAAGTTAAATTAAATTATACATAACTTTTATTTATAGCTTATGCAATATTTATTATTTAAAAACAACATGAAACATAAAAGCCACTTTGTTATTTTTAAATGAGTAGGCTAATTTAACATGATGGAACATAAAGTCAAGACAAAAAAGCAAAATGACTCAAGTAAGCTATGTTGTATGATAATTAATACACATAACATTGAGCAAAAATTGATAAGGTTTGAATAATAACTGTTAAACATTAACTAAATTCTTCAAAAATAGACAAACCAAGCCATTTGACTAATTCCTATTACTTTCTAGTTTATCTAAAAAGTAGAAGTCAGAAATTGAAAACTAAATATGTTAAAGATCACTAAAAAGCCTCTCCTTAAGTGTCTAATATGTAGAAAAATGTTTTCAACTCTATCAAGAATGAAAAGTCATATATATTTACACACAGGCGAGCGTCCCTTTAGATGTTTGACTTGTGATAAAACATTTATTTATCTTTATCAGGTAAGGAATCATATACTGACTCATTATGATAAGTGTCCTTATAAGTGCACTACATGTGGAAAAACATTCTCAACCAGTGACCATATGAAACAACATACATTAGTACACACCGGAGAGAGGCCTCATAAGTGCACTATATGTGGAAAATCCTTCAAAACCAGGAGCTATATGAAGATTCATACATTAGTACACACTGGAGAGAGACCTCATCAGTGCACTATATGTGGAAAATTCTTCCCAACTAGGAGCAGAGTGAAAGAACATACATTAGTACACACCGGAGAGAGACCTCATAAGTGCACTACATGTGGAAAATCCTTCCAGAACAGGAACAATATGAAGAGACATTCATTAGTACACACTGGAGAGAGACCACATAAGTGCACTACATGTGGAAAATCCTTCCAGAACAGGAGCCATATGAAGAAACATTCATTAGTACACACTGGAGAGAGACCACAAAGTGCACTACATGTGGAAATCCTTCTCATCCAGGAGCCATATGAAGAGACATACAGTAGTACACACCGGAGAGAGACCTCATAATCGCACTACATGTGGAAAATCATTTAAAACCAGTGGCCATATGAAGAAACATACAGAAGTACACACCGGAGAGAGAACTCATAAGTGCACTACATGTGGAAAAACATTCTCAACCAGGGACCATATGAAACAACATACATTAGCGCACACGGGAGAGAGGCCTCATAAGTGCACTATATGTGGAAAATCCTTCCAAACCAGGAGCTATATGAAGATTCATACATTAGTACACACCGGAGAGAGACCTCATAAGTGCACTACATGTGGAAAATCCTTCCAGAACAGGAGCAATATGAAGAGACATTCATTAGTACACACTGGAGAGAGACCACATAAGTGCACTACATGTGGAAAATCCTTCCAGAACAGGAGCCATATGAAGAAACATTCATTAGTACACACTGGAGAGAGACCACAAAGTGCACTACATGTGGAAATCCTTCTCATCCAGGAGCCATATGAAGAGACATACAGTAGTACACACCGGAGAGAGACCTCATAATCGCACTACATGTGGAAAATCATTTAAAACCAGTGGCCATATGAAGAAACATACAGAAGTACACACCGGAGAGAGAACTCATAAGTGCACTACATGTGGAAAAACATTCTCAACCAGGGACCATATGAAACAACATACATTAGCGCACACGGGAGAGAGGCCTCATAAGTGCATTATATGTGGAAAATCCTTCCAAACCAGGAGCTATATGAAGATTCATACATTAGTACACACCGGAGAGAGACCTCATAAGTGCACTACATGTGGAAAATCCTTCCAGAACAGGAACAATATGAAGAGACATTCATTAGTACACACTGGAGAGAGACCACATAAGTGCACTACATGTGGAAAATCCTTCCAGAACAGGAGCAATA